TGGCGTGTAAATAACGAGCCGCGGCCCCGCCTGGCCTCGCGGCGGCGTTGAGGACAGCGGAACGAGCCGGAGGAGGACAAATTAGAAACACAGAGGGCGCCGCGCAGGGATCCGCGCAGGGAGGGCCATTCATCAGGCCGGCGTTGCTTGCTCGGGACAGGAGCCCGGGGCTGCGACGGCTCTGGACCGAGGTAACGGAGAAACTCGTGGTACGATCATTATCTAGTAACGGGAAACAAGAACGTGCTGCTCGGGAGGAAGAGCGATGCGGGGATCACAGCAGCTGGCGCCGGAGCCTGTCACGGCTGGCGCCGCGCCAGGCACTGGCCCCGGACCAGACGCGCGGATGACAGGGGTCGCGACCAGAAAGGAGGCCGCGGGGGTGTGCGCGGGGGAGGCAGGCCGCCGTCCTGCGCCTGGAACCGGCGTCGGGGAAGGGCCAGCTCGGCCGGCTTCGCACGGGTCTGCTCGGGGGCAGGGCCCCGGCCTGCGGGCACAGGGATGGACCACCCCCACGCGCCCCCTTGGTTCTCGCCCACCCCCTAAACTTTCGTTTTTAAATTAAGACAATCTTTTTTTTTTCTTTCTTTAGAGCAGGTTTAGGTTCACAGCTGCGTGGGAAGAGATGTCCCATCACCGGCCTCCCCCACCAGGGTGGGACTTTTGTCCCGACGACAGACCTGCGCCGACGTGGCCTCGTCACCAAAGCCCGCAGTTCGTGTCAGCGGTCGTTCCTGGTGCGGTACCTCTCATGTGCGCGTGTAATAACGCCAAGTAGCGGTCCTCACGGTGTCACGCAGAGACGTTCCCCCGCCCTAACCCTCCTCCGGGCTCGGCCCGCTTCCCACCCCCCCCCCGCCCCCGCAGCCTCCGCGAGCGCCGGTCCCTCTCCTGTCTCCGCGGTGCTGCGGTGTCTAGGGAGCGAGTCATCCAGCTGGAGTCACTCGGCAGGTGGGTGTACCCGGTGGGCTTCTTCCGCCGGGTAGCGTGCATTCATGCTCCTCCACGCCTTTTCGTGGCTCGATAGCCCTTCTCTCTCTCTTTTTTTAGTGCCGAATGGAGTGCCACGGTCTGCACGCACCACAGTCTATTTGTTCATTCGCCCGCGCGAGGACCTCCTGGCTGCTACCGGGTTTCGGCGATGAAGCTGCTGTCAACGCCCACATGCGGGTGTCTGGTGGTCGTAGTTCCGGACTCCTCTGGGTGAACACCAAGGAGCACGACCGCTGGACTGCATCGTAAAGACGTGGTGAGTTTTGTAAGAAGCGGCCCAACTGTCTCCAAGGGTCCGGAGCGGCCGCACCCTTCTGCATCCCCACCGGCCAGGAGCGAGAGTTCCCGCCGCCCCACGGCCTCGCCGGCGCGCGGTGGTGTCCGCGTTTCCGATTCTGGCTGTTCTGCTAGGCGCGCGGTGGAGTCTCATTGCCGTCTTACCTGCTCCTTTTTATCGTGGAAAATACAAACACGCCCCCTCCCCCCGCCCCCTCCCCCAGCTGCAGCATCACCGGCTCCCGGGCAGTCTTGCTTCATCTCTGCCTGCACCCCCTCACCTCACACGCCCATGGGTGCGGGAGCCGGGAGCCTTGGGGAGAACTCCAGCCCTGTGCAGGACTCCAGGGCCCAGGGAGCCAGGCCCGACCTTGACAAGACTGTGACCTTGTCGAGGAAAAGGAAAAAAGGGGACCTTGGGCTGGAGAAGGAGGCACTCGAGAGGCCGCCAGGACCGTCTTCAAGTCTTGGCCGAGCGGTTCGGGAGCAGAGCCGGGCACAACCCAGGGACGGCAGGGAGCCGCACTGGGGGCGCAGCCGGAGGAAAGAACCTTGCAGGCACAGGAAATAGTGCAGGAAGAGTCTGGCCCGACTGTGGCGCCTCCGAGAGTGACCCGCTGGAACCCGCGCTGGGGGCTGTGGCCCAAGGACACTTGCGCCTCATCCGAGTGTTTGAACTCCTCACTTCAAAGGAAAAGACATGCAGGTTTTGCCTCTACTAAGAGCACCACAATGGTAAAAGAAGGCGTTTTCTACAGTGACGACTGTCTCCTAAAGGAAGTCCCCGGTCCCTGCAGATGTGCCCAGCGGGAGGGGCTGGATGTGGCAGGCGCCCCAAGCCGGGCCCTGGGAGAACCACCCCAGACTTTGCTGAAACACAGAGATCAGGGTTCAGCAGGTCTGGACAGGCCGAGGACATTTTTTTTTTCCTAATTTCCCCCGAATTGGAAACTTCACTGGATATTGGATGGTATTAAGGCATTATTGATGTCCAAAAGATATGTACAAAGATGCTCACCTCACCGATCATCAGAGAAATGCACACTGAAACCACAGCAGATATAATCTCGTACTTGTTAGGACGGCCACTGTACCCCAAAATACTGAAAGCTAACAGATGGTGCTGAGGACGTGGAGAAGTCGAACCCCTGTGCACTGTGGCTGGGAGTGGACCGTGTGCAGCTGCTGTGCAAACGGGTCCCCCCGCCCCCCGCCTGAAAAAATAAAGATAAAACCACCACAGGACCCAGCAATCCACGTCTGGTTATTTATCCAGAAGAGTTGAGATCGGTGTCTCAGACGTCTGCACCCCCTTGTCCACTGCGGCGGTGTCACCAAGAGTCAAGATGTGTGATGCGTGAACAACCTGTGTGTCCGTCCGGGGACAAAGACAACGTGGTGTAACATACAATGAGATACTCAGCTTAAAGAAAATAAGGAAATCCTGTCAGACATGTGTGACACGTGGAGGAACCTGGAGGACATTATGCTAAGTGAACTAAGCCAATTACGGAAGGGCAAAGACTGCCAGATCCCCTCGCAGGAGGAATCGAAAGCAAAGTCAGAAGCAGAGGACAAGGGGGTTGCTAGGCGCCGGGGAAAGCGGAAGTGGGGAGCGGCAGCAGCCACGCATCAGATACAAAGTCTCAACTGCCCCAGTTGAGTGCGCTCGAGGGACCTGCCGTATAACACAGCTCAGGATATTGTGACTTAAGCACCTGTCAAGAGGGTAGATGTGTTAAGCCTCATGGCAGAAATAAAAAAGGAATCATTGTAACTGTAACTATTTTTCTTAGGTTTCTTCATGATATTCTGGTTATATTTTTACAAAAAGTATTTACCTTTTAGAGACCTATGCTGAAAGAGTTACAAGTGGAATGATACAAAGTAGCGCATTTGCTTCTGACCGAGGAGGTGGGGAGGATGGGATGAAACGAAATGGGCCACGAGTTGGTGATGGTGAAGGATGGGCCCTGGAAAGGTGGAGTTCATTACTCTGCCCTTCTGCCAGGAGGAAAATGTAAAGAGTGAGGCCCTTGTGGATGCCCGGGGAGCAGGGAGGGGCTTCTAGGGACAGGAAAGCAGGGAGGCCTGGCTATTTAAATGGAGGCTGCAGCGATGCGGAGGAGCGGGTGTGCACAGACCTGGAGGAAGTCTCGCGGGTGGAGGACTGGCCGGTGCAGGCCCCTGAGGCTGACACTGGTGGGAAGTGCTGGAAGGAGAGACTGAGAGGCAGGGGGCTTGCAGGAGGTGGGAACGTGGGTAGGTAACGCACACCTCCCCTGGGGCCCCTGGGCTTCCGGGTTGCAGTGAGACCTGGGTCCTCACCAAAGCCTCACTCGGGCTGTGGGGCTGAGAACAGACGGGGGGCTGTGTGAGCCACGTGTGTTTGGCTGCCAGCGATGGAAATCCTGATGCAACCCACTGGAACCATCAGGAAATTCGCTGGTGTCTTTAACTGCAAGTCCGGAGGTAATGTGGGCTCCGGCGTTGGCGGCTTCAGCCTAGGAAGGAGCGCTCAGATTCTGCCGGCCGCAGATTCAACTTCCTCTGAGGTTTGGAGGTGGTCTCAGTGGTCTTCCTAGGTGAAACACGCAAGGCTGCCTGCTCAGTGCTTCCCGCCAAGGGACTGGTAGGTTTCTTGCAGAAGTGTCTCCAAAGAATGAGGAAGAACTTTTGCAGAAGCCTCCAGAAAACCTGTATTTGTGGGGTGTCACATGTCCCTTCCTGAGCTAACAAGGCACAGGGAAAACGCATGGCCCTTAGACTGGGGCTGGGGGCTGCCAGCTTCCCACAGGCAAAGGAGCTGGGACGTCTGGGGCTGAGCACCCCCATGAGGTGGTGTGGCAGGGGTGGGCAGCAGCCAATACTCATCACGGGGGGCACGAGTGGAAGCAAGGAGACCAGAGGACAAGCCCCTGAGGTGGCTGAGGATGGAGAGATGATGGCAGACAAGGTGCTCAGCGGTGTCTCAGGGGTGTCGAGGTAGGGCCCGCAGGGAGGAAGGGAGCCATCACCACGGATCCTCTCCGCCCAAGTTGCCCTCCTTCGTCTGTTTGGAGCACATGGAAAAAGGGTGTCTCAGGTTGGGCGCTGGCCAGGAGGGCGGGCAGGCACCCCAGGGTGTCAGGTGCAGCTGCCTGTGGGTGCACTCCCATCTGCACACGACAAAGGAACGGGGCCATCGCTCCCGTTAGGGATGGTTGTTAGTGCAAGGCCACCTCCACGCAGTACGCGTGCACGGGGCGCCTACTGGGTACAGTGGTCGCAGGAAGGAGAGAGCGCAGGAATACTAGAACGAGAGGGAAAGTTTCGTTCGCACACAGCAATATATTAATATGAGTATCATAGCTTTGAACAAGGAACCATTAGAATGTGTGCCGTAATGAATGCACATGCAAATATAATCGCGTCTTTCAATTCATTAAACAGGAACGGTTTGCACTTGCTACAGTTGAGTGGCTGAAGCGGCAGCTTGAGTGCAGGAATGAAGTGCATGAGATGCAGCCCTGAACGCCCGGGGTGGGGGAAGGCGGGGACGTGGGGCACAAAGCTCCGTCTGCGCCCCGCTCCGGAACGCTCACGGTGCGTGGACACCGAGTGGAACCGAAGCTTTACGGGAGGGCTGCGCACGGGCTCGGCCTCAGGCAGCCGCGCACCACGTGACCGCCGGGGGCGGGGCGAGGGAGGGGCCGCGCGCGCTTCCCGGCGTGCCGCGCGGGGCGGGGCGAGGGGCGGAGCCACGCGGGAGTTCGCCGCCGCGGGACGTCAGGCTCGGCTGGGCCACCGGACAGCGCCTCCCGTTCTCCCGGGTTCGCTGCTGCTCGGAGCCGGCGGCGGCGGCAGGCGGAGGGCGGCATGCGCGTGTGAGATGCGGCGGCGGGCAGCCGGGACGCGAGCCGCGGCGGAGCAGGCGGGCGAGGCCTCCTCAGAGCGGGGCGCGCGGTGCATGAGGGCGAGCACGCGGGCGCCGGGCAGCCGCCGGCCACGCCGCCTCCATAAACACTTGTTTAGGACTCGTTCGCCTCGCTGAGGCCCCGGCGCCGCCATGGAGGCCCCGCCGGACCCCGCGCCCCTGGCCGCCGCCTCGGCCTCGGCCCCGGCCCCGCTGCGCGCCCCGCAGGTGGCGCGGCTCCGCGAGGAGCAGGAAAAGGTAACAGGCCGCGGCCCGGCCCGCGCTTCCGCCGAGTCTCCGGGGGGCGCCCGCGTCCCCGGCCCGGGCCCGCCCCCCCGGCCCAGCCTCGGTCGCGGCCCGGCCCGCTCCCACCCCGCACCGGGGAAGCGCTCAGCCTCCGGGCCGCCTGGGAGAAAGTGACGGGAGAAACTTTTGTCACGTGCTCATGTTGTCTTTTGTCTGCAGCCCTTTGACCTCCGAGGGGGCGGGGACGCGGGGAGGCTGCGACCCTCCGCGTCACTGACGTGCGAAAGGGGGTCACGCTGTCGACGGAAGTGGCTGCGAAAGTGTGTACACGCCGCATCCTCGCCCCTGCCGGTTCTATCCGGCCTGTAACGCGGCCGCGGGCGCGCTTCCAGCGCGGGCTGCGGGGCGCGGGGCGGCGGAGATGCCCTCCCGCCGCGTGTGAACTTCGGTCGGGTGGCCCGTGGGCTCTACGCCGCCCACGACGGGGGCGGGGGGCGAGTTGCGCATTTCCTAACGGGATGGTCTGCGCAGACGCCCCCACCGCACCGAAGCAGCACGGCGTCCCTGCTCGACCTCAGATTTTCCCCTTGGGGTTCTGGAGCATTCCAGGTGTCCCCTGCTCCAGAAATTTCGAAATCCTGACTCTGGAAAGCAACGCTTACTTTACTTAAAAGGCCCTGGGCCACGTTGCGAGACAGGGTCCTGGTGCAAAGCGGGAGCAACTTGTCTCTAAGCCCCAGGGGGACAGCCCCGTGCAGAAATGTCTCCCCCGCACGGCCGAGGCGCACAGCTGCGGCCCCGGGCGGGCGGGAGGGGGTTTCACAGCACCTAGAGCAGAAAACCGAACACGCCCGGCCCTCGCGGGCTCGGGAGCCACCTGTTGGGGGCGTCCTTCCTGCCTGCGCTGCTGGGCCCCCCTCCGGTGCGCGGTGGCGCTTTGCGAGACCCGTCGCTCTCTAACCAGAGATACGACTGTTGGGTTTTAAACCTGGCTCCTGTCTACACGGGGGTTTAAAAATTAACGCTGTTTGGCACATTTAAGCTATAAGACATTAATGGGTCTTCATTTTCTTGAAGAGAGAAATAAAAGAACAATGAAGAGAGCTCTTTCTGAAACCAGTTTGTCCATTTTTGGCGAAGCTGTTTACGCTGTTGTTCTTGTAGAATCGGTGAAGCCGACCCCCGGACGACGGTGTTCCCGAGTGGCGGTCGTCCCGGTGGAGGTGTCAGCGTGCAGCGTGCCGACCCGGCCCGCGGCCTCCCCTGGCGCATTAAACAGAGACGTTCTGGGTTTCACTCGGACGCCAGTGCGTCTGGAACACACGCGGGATCCGTGTGGGGTGCTCTGAACAGCCCTGGGTGTGGTGTCCAGTTACCTCCGAAAACCGCCTTCCGGGTTCAGTCCTGCGGAGCCTGGGTGGCTGGTTTGAGTGGACCGTGCTCCCGGGTCCCCATCCCGTGTCTCTTGGTGCCGGTGCGGCACACCCCCCGTGTGCGTGTGCGTGTGCATGTCTGTTGTGCTGTGTGCACTCACTCCCGTCAGGGAGCGGCCCCTCCAGGAACAGACGAGGCTGCGTTTTAGAGGCTCCGGGCCAGCTAAGGCCGCGACCGCAGACCCGAGAGACCGCTGCGTCCAGCGGTTTGGGGCTGGAAAGCTTCCCCCGGCCAGTGTCCAGCGGTGTTGTGAGGGTCCTTATTCGGGCTCTCAGCCCAGCCTGCCTGCAGGGGCTGAGCGAGCTGGAGTGGGGTCAGAGCGCGGGGACGAGGCTGGAGGGGGATGGGACTGATGGCGCAGCGGCCACGAGTTCGTGTGGCGCCCAGTATTCCGTGTGCGGTTCCAGACAGCTGTGCGGCGGGGCCTGGCCTTGCCCTCCCAGGGCCGTGCTGCGGGAGAGAGGAGGGGCCTGGGCAGGGGGGCAAGGGCCGGCGTGTCCTGCCCCCAGGGTGGTACCTGGCTGGATCCCTCACAGGCAGGGCCGCCTCCGGGTCCGGGCGTCAGCCCTCTGCAGCCTGGGCGGAGAGGGGCCAGGTGGGGCGGGTCAGTGTTGCTCCTCAGTCTGCTCTCCATGGGTTTCTGGTGAGTCCTGCTGAGGATGGAGGCAGGTGTTGACCCGGTCCCTGGCCGTGTTGCCCGTGTTTGCCCTCGGAGCACACACAGCAGGGACGATATACGTCGGTGACCCAAGGCGGGGAGGCAGCAGGGGCAGGAGTGAGCCATGGCCCCCACTGTGACCGTGTCTAGCGAGTGGACAGTGAGAGAGATCGTAACCTGGTTTCCATCCGTCACACCCGTGCCGGGCCTTCCGCTCACTCCTTTGTGATCTGGTAAGGGCACGGGGGGCGGCGGGGAGCAGTTCCTGGCGGCTTTGCCTACAGTGGAGAAGACACTGAAAACCCAGCGCTAGGGGCTTGGTCACGTAAGTCCCCGTCGGGGAGGAGGGCCCTTGTGCGGGCAGCGGAGGGGAAGAGTGTGTGTGAGATGTGGTAGCAGCTGGGTTTGCGCTCGCGGGCGTCATCCCCTTCACGTGGAGGGCACGCCGCCACGGTTTCCAAAGCACAGCTCCCTCCCTCAGTTTACCCACCAGCGAATGAAATCGGGTGGGGTTTTAGCTTTTTCAGTAACGGGTGTTGGTAACAGTTCATTAGTTCCAGTAAGAACTGGGATGTGGTGTCTTCAACCACTAAATACTTTCTGTGCCGAGAAATGGCTTTTGGCTGGTTGCTGGGCAGGTTTATTTCTTGGTGTTTCCAGAGCTGATGGACACGGTTTATCCAAACGTCCATTCTCCGTTCGTTTTTTGTTTGTTTTCTTTTTTCCCTGGAGGTTTTGTTTACTCTTAATTCTCTGTCAAAAGATACAGGGACAAGAGGGAACTTGGGTTAACATTTTCTTCTTTTAGCCAAGTCTGTTCCTGCTGACAGTGAGACACTCAGTGGAACCGGGAAGCTCCTCAGGACCCGGGACTGCGGGGCGGCGTCTCGGGGCAGCATCTTGGGCCGGTCGGGAAGTCTCCTCCCGCCGGGGCTTGTTACAGCTGCTCCTGCCTGGGAATCGCCTTCTGTCGAAATTCTGGTTTCTTGGCTGAGGAGATATTTCTGTAATGTCAGTATTTTATATCTTCAGAACCAGTTATCTTTCAGTAGCAGAGCTACTGGGGGTTTACTGTAATGTGGAAAAAGAGCTGTATACTGTTGTTTTTATAAATTTATTTGCAGGAAAATAGTAACTTTTGGAAAACTCATAAGGATAATAGTGTTTATTATTTCATTGTAATTGTTACCGAGTGGCTCATGTAATTCTTACGCAGAGTTTTGGAGTAACTTGCACTTTCTTGATGTGGAACCTGGGGAGGTAAATGCATTGAGCACACATTTCAAAATGTTCATGAAGCAGGACAGTAACTGGTGGGGCCTCCGTATTCCTCACGGCGAGGAACTGCCTGGAACTGCCTGCCGCGGGTCCCGAACGGTAGCTCCTCTCTCCCGCCCCGAGTCCGAGCCGCCTCATCCCAACAGGTGCTTATCCGGTGCCTGTCGCATGCCAGCCGTGTGCTGCTGGGGCCAGTCATGAATGCGGCAGAGGCAGCCCTTGCTGGAGCGGGGTCGTGTGCTGGCGGCAGAGGCACAGAGCGGGCCCACTGGAGATGTCCCGTGGGTGTCCTCTGCGGGGCTGGGCGGAGTGAGAAGGTCTGGGAGGGTGCTGCGGTGCGTGGGGGTCTGAGCAGGGGTCGGACAGAGGGGGACGCCCCATCTGTGTGGTGTGTGTGCGCAGGGCCGCAAGGTCGGGGGGTGGGTGTCGCAGGGAGCACTGAGGTGAGGGCCTGCGGTCAGGACGTGGGGACTGGGGTGGGTCTCGGCAGTGGGAGGGTTTGGGTTTGGTGTCTGTCAGGTGAGGGGCACGGGATGTGCTTCGAGATCCCACTGATGTCAAGTGGGACGCGTCCACTTGTCACGTGTGGGGAAGGGACACTTGGGTTGGGTGTTGCCAGTCTTTGGTGACATGGGCTGGCGTCACCCGGCCGGCTTTCGCCTCAACGGTGCTCGTCTGGGGGCGCGTCGCGTCGTCTGCCCGGGTCTTCTCGCTCATCGCCTGGCCGTGGTTCGGGTCCACCCACTGGGCCACACATTCTCCACTCGTTAAACCTGCTGTTGCTTCTTTATTTCTTTTCTCTTATGTTAATGCAATGTATCTGAAAGCTCAGCGTGGTGGTTACATGGTTCCCACTGTCCGCCTAGTCGGTGCCTTAGAGGTGACAGTGTGTGTTCGCTTCGGCTCGCAGGCCGCCGTGCGTGCGGGGGAGGTCCCGTACCGCTCCGCTCCGCCCTCGTCTGTGGTGGGCGGTGCGGCTTCGTGGGCCTGCCCCCCTCGTCTGAGCTGTGCTTTACCTGTTCGGGCGTTTGTCACCTGGATGTTACGTCTCACGTTGTATCCACACTTCGAGGATGCCGTTCCGTTTCTCTGGCTTCCTCTACTTCTGCTCGTTTCTGTCGGTGTTACTGTTTGTTCCGGGAGAGTTTTGGTATGTTTCCCCCGTCTGCTTTTTTGCACGGCTCTCTTCATCTTGGTTTTTTGGCATTGGATTGTGACGGGCCTGGATGTGGTTTTCCTTGTGTCCCGCCGGCTTTAAATGCACACTTGCTTCAATCTGCAATTTGGTGGCTTCTGTGAGTTTAGAAAATTCTTGCCCACTCTTCAAATACTGGCTTGCATCGTTGTCCCTCCTCTACCTGCGGCACCCTGGGGACACTCGGTTAGACATTGACCGTCTCGCCTCTCCCCTGCCCCCACTCTCTGGCCTCCTGCTGCCCTGATGCCAGTTCGGACCCCTTCCATCCACCTGCACTGTGCTCACTGGTCCTCAGCTCTTACCTGTTCAGTGTGCGGCGCCGCCACCTACTGAATGCTTAATCGCAGGAGCTTTCTTTTTTGTCCTCAGGACTTGCGGTTTGACGTTTTAAGTGGGGTCTGCCTCCGCTGCCATCTGCAGCCTCCCCTCTGTTTTCGTGGTGTG